AATACATACAATTCATTACGGGGGTGGTGGGGTAGCCTAGTGGTTAAAGCGTTAACTCGTCACACCGAAGACTCGGGTTCGATTCCCCACATCGGTACAATGTGTGAAGCCCATTTCTGGTGTCCCCCACCGTGATATTGCTGGAATATTGCTAAAAGCGGCGTAAAACCATACTCACTCATTCACTAATAACATGACATGTTAACCTGATGATTACAAGTTAACAACGTGAACATAATAACAGACACTGTTCAAGTACCTGAGTGTATGGAGATTCTCCTGTTTGGATCTAAATAGCAGAATATGCACATTTCCCCCAAGATTGTATGTTTCTCCTCTACAATATCCCGACTATCTGAAATTTGAAAACAAATGATACAGGGTTTTCATTCATCTGGAATAAGGGAGGAAATATGAACTTATGAAATAAAAGTACTCTATCAGGATACAAATCTTATCACACCCTTATTATAAGGATACAGATCATATCACAACCATATTATGAGGATACAAATCATATCACACCCATATTATGAGGATACGAATCATATCACACCCATATTATGAGGATACGGATCATATCACACCCATATTATGAGGATACGAATCATATGACGCTCATATTATGAGGATATGAAACATACCACACCCATATTATGAGGATACCAATCATATCACACCCATATTATGAGGATTCAAATTATATCACACCCATATCATGAGGATACGAATCATATGACACTCATATTATGAGGATACAAATAATACCACACCCATATTATGAGGATACCAATCATATCACACCCATATTATGAGGATTCAAATTATATCACACCCATATTATGAGGATACGAATCATATCACACCCATATTATGAGGATAGAGATATATACAAATCATATCACACCCATATTATGAGGATACGAATCATATCACACCCATATTATGAGGATACAAATCATATCACACCCATATTATGAGGATACGAATCATATCACACCCATATTATGAGGATACAAATCATATCACACCCATATTATATTATAAGGATAAACAAATCATATCACACCCATATTATGAGGGATACACTGAATCATATCACACCCATATTATGAGGATAATGAATCATATCACACCCATATTATGAGGATACAAATCATATCACATCCTTATTATAAGGATACGAATCATATCACACCCATATTATGAGGATACAAATCATATCACACCCATATTATGAGGATACGAATCATATCACACCCATATTATGAGGATACGAATCATATCACACCCATATTATGAGGATACACACCACCCATATTATGAGGATACTAATCATATCACACTATCACACCATATTATGATCATATGACACTCATATTATGAGGATACGAATCATATCACACCCATATTATGAGGATACGAATCATATCACACTCATATTATGAGGATATGAAATATACCACACCCATATTATGAGGATACCAATCATATCACACCCATATTATGAGGATTCAAATTATATCACACCCATATTATGAGGATACGAATCATATCACACCCATATTATGAGGATACAAATCATATCACACCCATATTATGAGGATACAGAATCATATCACACCCATATTATGAGGATACGAATCATATCACACCCATATTATGAGGATACAAATCATATCACACCCATATTATGAGGATACAAATCATATCACACCCATATTATGAGGATACGAATCATATATTATGAGGATACCATATCATATTATGAGGATCACCATCATATCATGACCATATATATGAGGATACTGAATCATATCACACCCATATTATGAGGATACGAATCATATCACACCCATATTATGAGGATACTAATCTATATCACAAACCATATCATATCACCATATATTATGAGGATACATATCAATCATATCACGACCATATTATGAGGATACGAATCATTTCGCACCCATATTATGAGCACTGACTGACTGACTGAGTTTGTTTTTACGCCGCTTTTAGCAATATTCCTGCAACATCATGGCGGGGGACACCAGAAATGGGCTTCACACATTGTACCCATGTGGGGATTCGAACCCGGGTCTTCGGTGTGACGATCCAACGCTTTAACCACTAGGCTACCCCACCACACCCAATGATATTATGATGATAGGAATCATATCACACCCATATTATGAGGATAAAAATCATATCACACCCATATTATGAGGATACAAATCATATCACACCCATATCATGAGGATACGAATCATATCACACCCATATTATGAGGATGCGAATTATATCACACCCATATTATGAGGATATGAATTATATCGCACCAATATTATGAGGATACGAATCATATTACACCCATATTATGAAGATACAAATCATATCACACCAATATGAGGATACGAATCATATTACATCGATATTATGAGGATACAAATCATATCACACCAATATTATGAGGATAAGAAAGATATTACACCCATATTATGAGGATACAAATCATATCATGGCCACACATATTGTTACAAATGTAATAACTGGCAATGTAATTTTGTGGAATGAAGACCAACAAACTGTAGAATTTGTAAACATTATTTGACCTGTGAGCAGTGGACCATTTACTATTCTGGTTCTGTTGTTTCTCTGCATGTGTACATGTGTGAGGGTTACAATTTTCAAATTAAAAAAAGGAGATTTGTTATTACCGAAAATGCTATGAATAAAACTCACCCCTGGTTTTACCCAAAGAAGTGTAACATTTGTTAAATAAATTTAATGTGAAGAATTGTTCTGCTTCCCTTTCCAGAGAAATATATTGTAGGTCCTGAGGTGGTGACTGATGTATTTTTCTGTTTCTAAAAAATACTCCTAAAACTGACTCTCTATCACTACCCCCTTAATGAATAATTTGCTGACACACTTTAATAATGCGAGTTGGAAATAAAGTTTGGTAGTATGTGGTATTGAGACCTGAAGACAAGCAATAATGCTGTTTGAGTTTGAATCCACTGTCATGTTGCCAGCCTGAATTAAAGTTTCCAGTCACTTGTCAAAAGTGAAAATTCATTTTGCACTTTCAAAATCTTTCAGTATATTCATAAAAATAAGAGAAACATGAAAGTTGTTTTCACAGTTTGGCAATACATGAATTAAAGTGTCACATGAGATGGAATTGTCTGAAATAAAAACCTGGCTACAAGACTGTTCCTTCAGGACAAATTACTCAACTATTTATTGGTTCAGTCAAACCATACGTCTTCCATATTGTCTGTTCTTGATCCCCTGATATTAGGGTTAAAATGAAAATCCTTGGTTTCTCGTCCTAATTGCGGTTTAACTATAGGGTTTGATGTAGCGTTACAAGTTTCTTAAAGTCTTGTTAATTCTCTGAAATTCGTTCCAGCTAATCTGTCTGGGCATTTTGGACAATAAACCATACTGTACATGAATTGGAGCGGCTTAAGGTTCCTGTGAACCCGAGGTATGGTGTATATATGGGCAATTGTGCGTCTCCGCAGGAGTTTGGTAATGATAGCATCCACCGAGACAGATCATTATCCTTTGTAAAAAGCATAGCTCAGAGGGGTAGAGTCTTTAAACAGTTTGATGAAAACCTTGGTAAAGAGTTTTGTGTAAAGTTGGTCAAGGCACTTATGTATTAGGAGCTAGCAGATGCTTTTGACAAGGTCTTGTGAAAGATTTGTCACACAGTTGATTTTGCGTGCTGTGTTTTACATTGGCATCATCGGCATCCATCTTGTGTTAATTATGAAGCCTCAACGTGAAGGCAATGATGACAGGGGAGGGATTGAGCTTGCGGCCATTTTGTGAGGTGGCATGATGCTGATTGGGGAGGATGAAACGTAGGATTTGGAAGGGATAAAGGGATGTCTCATATACACCGTCTGCCTTCAGTTCAAGGTGGAGGCTTGGTCTCTCATAAACGCTTCATTTTTGCGTACATACATAGTCCTCAGTGGTTTCTTATGTCTACCTTCATCCTTCCATACAAGGTGCTGGCTTGGTCTCTTGAACAACTTAATTCCATGCAAAGCTTTATTTTTGTACATACATACATAGTCCTCAGTGGTTTCTCATGTCTGCCTTCATCCTTCCATACAAGGTGCTGGCTTGGTCTCTCATAACGCTTAATTTTTGTGTACATACATAGTCCTCAGTGGTTTCTTGTGTCTACCTTCATCCTTCCATACAAGGTGCTGGCTTGGTCTCTCATAAACGCTTCATTTTTGCGTACATACATAGTCCTCAGTGGTTTCTCATGTCTGCCTTCATCCTTCCATACAAGGTGCTGGCTTGGTCTCTCATAATCCTTCCATATTTGGTGGGTCATACACATACATAGTCCTCAGTGGTTTCTCATGTCTACCTTGATCCTTCCATACAAGGTGCTGGGTGGGTCTCTTGTACAACTTGATCCTTCCATACAAGGTGCTGGGTGGGTCTCTTGAACAACTTATCATTCCATGCAAAGTGCTTTATGGGTCTCATGTACACCTACATCCTCCCATACAGATGTGCTGTATGGGTCTCATGTACACCTACATCCTCCCATACAGATGTGGTGGGTGGGTCTCATGTACACCTACATCCTCCCATACAAGATTGCCCCTAGTATTTCATGCTTGTCTTCCCATGGGCCTGCAGGGCAGTACCTCAAGCTTGTCATATATGACCTGGGGCAGTGGGGTAGCCTAGTGGTTAAAGCGTTCGCTTGTCACGCTGAAGGTACTGAGTTTGATTCCCCACATTGGTACAATATGTGAAGCCCATTTCTGGTGTCCCCTACTATGATATTGCTGGAATATTGCTAAAAGCACTCATGTACGACCTAACCTTTTATGTTGTTATCACAGTACTGCAGACTGCAGCATGCATCAACCTCACTCATGTATTTTTTCTCTCTGAACATTCTTCTCTGACCATGTCGCTTCTGTTACAGATGCAGCCAACACACTGTGCTGGACATGCAGCCAACACTCTGTGCTGGACATCGCCTACTACGACCCAACTTCGCTGTCCTTGCTGCTGCAGGAGGAGGGGGAAGATGGCCGCCCGGTGCTGCTGCAACTCTCCATGTCCATCCTTAACTCCAGCAAGTTCACCAAGCTGGCCACCACGGAGAACATTGCTTCTCTAAATCACATGTAAGTAGAGTCAGTGACATGGAGGATATTGCCTCTGTCAGTCACATGTAAGTAAAGTTGATGATACAGAGAATATTGCCTCTGTCAGTCACATGTAAGTAAAGTTGGTGATACAGGGAATATTGCCTCTGTCAGTCACATGTAAGTAAAGTTGGTGATACAGAGAATATTGCCTCTGTCAGTCACATGTAAGTAAAGTTGGTGATACAGGGAATATTGCCTCTGTCAGTCACATGTAAGTAAAGTTGGTGATACAGAGAATATTGCCTCTGTCAGTCACATGTAAGTAAAGTTGGTGATACAGAGAATATTGCCTCTGTCAGTCACATGTAAGTAAAGTTGGTGATACAGAGAACATTGCCTCTGTCAGTCACATGTAAGTAAAGTTGGTGATATGGAGAACATTGCCTCTGTCAGTCACATGTGAGTAAAGTTGGTGATATGGAGAACATTGCCTCTGTCAGTCACATGTAAGTAAAGTTGGTGATATGGAGAACATTGCCTCTGTCAGTCACATGTAAGTAAAGTTGGTGATATGGAGAACATTGCCTCTGTCAGTCACATGTAAGTAAAGTTGGTGATATGGAGAACATTGCCTCTGTCAGTCACATGTAAGTAAAGTTGGTGATATGGAGAACATTGCCTCTGTCAGTCACATGTAAGTAAAGTTGGTGATATGGAAAACATTGCCTCTGTCAGTCACATGTGAGTAAAGTTGGTGATACAGGGAATATTTCCTGTCAGTCATATGTAAGTGAAGTTGGTGATACAGAGAACATTGCCTCTGTCAGTAACATGTAAGTAAAGTTGGTGATACGGAGAACATTGCCTCTGTCAGTAACATGTAAGTAAAGTTGGTGATATGGAGAACATTGCCTCTGTCAGTCACATGTAAGTAAAGTTGGTGATACAGGGAACATTGCCTCTGTCAGTCACATGTAAGTAAAGTTGGTGATACAGGGAATATTTCCTGTCAGTCACATGTAAGTGAAGTTGGTGATACAGGGAATATTGCCTCTGTCAGTCACATGTAAGTAAAGTTGGTGATACAGGGAATATTTCCTGTCAGTCACATGTAAGTGAAGTTGGTGATACAGGGAATATTGCCTCTGTCAGTCACATGTAAGTAAAGTTGGTGATACAGAGAACATTGCCTCTGTCAGTCACATGTAAGTAAAGTTGGTGATATGGAGAATATTGCCTCTGTCAGTCACATGCCCTCTGTCAGTCACATGTAAGTAAAGTTGATGATACAGAGAATATTGCCTCTGTCAGTCACATGTAAGTAAAGTTGATGATACAGAGAATATTGCCTCTGTCAGTCACATGTGAGTAAAGTTGGTGATACAGAGAACATTGCCTCTGTCAGTCACATGTAAGTAAAGTTGGTGATATGGAGAATATTGCCTCTGTCAGTCACATGTAAGTAAAGTTGGTGATACAGAGAACATTGCCTCTGTCAGTCACATGTAAGTAAAGTTGGTGATATGGAGAACATTGCCTCTGTCAGTCACATGTAAGTAAAGTTGGTGATATGGAGAAACATTGCCTCTGTCAGTCACATGTAAGTAAAGTTGGTGATACAGAGAACATTGCCTCTGTCAGTCACATGTAAGTAAAGTTGGTGATACAGAGAACATTGCCTCTGTCAGTCACATGTAAGTAAAGTTGGTGATATGGAGAACATTGCCTCTGTCAGTCACATGTAAGTAAAGTTGGTGATATGGAAAACATTGCCTCTGTCAGTCACATGTGAGTAAAGTTGGTGATACAGAGAACATTGCCTCTGTCAGTCACATGTAAGTAAAGTTGGTGATACAGGGAATATTGCCTCTGTCAGTCACATGTAAGTAAAGTTGATGATACAGTTTATATTGCCTCTGCAGTCACATCTGAGTAGAGTTGATGATACAAAGGATATTGCCTCTGTCAGTCACATGTGAGTAGAGTTGTGATACAGAGAACATTGCCTCTGTCAGTCACATGTGAGTAGAATAAGTTACATTGAGAAAATTGCAGGAGATCGGGCGGATACAGTTTTTTGAGAAGGGGGGTGGGGGGTGCACAGTTAATTTTCATGAGAGTTTCAATGGTTATTTAATAAACTTTCAGGACAAAGCCCCCCTCCCCCCTCTCTAGATCCGCCTATGTAGATGATGGTTGTCATGTGTTTTTGTCACTAATGAATCTGCTGGGATGAGGTTCTGTGCTTGTGTTGTACAATAACCACAACAAAAAACAAGGTTGTGGTGTTAGAAGCCTTGGTTAGACATCATTGTATCTGGATCAGCTTCCTTAACTTCTCTTCAGACCTTTCCCAATTTTGGAACCAGAACCATAATGTCAATATTTAGATTTGATCCTAGTTAGGAAAACAGATTCTCGTATTTCAAAGAATATTTCCTGTGTCAAAAAACATTCATTCTCGGAAAAATCTCCATGAATCAAAATATTATCACATAACCATGACCATGAATAACTAAACCAGCCTTGCCAACCAACAATAGCTTCTGCCGCGTACTCCCCATTGTCCCAAGAGGCGGCATCCGTTAACTCTCATCGGCTGATCCAACCTTGATCCTCGCGGGCACAATACCAGTGTCCTCCTCGACACTTGGTGGGTCATCCCATTGTCCACGGGGCAAGGGGAGCAACCGAGGTCACCTCTAATGTCCCTCTCATCAAAGAGAGCAGGAGCCGTCTTGTCAGCCTCCTATCTCCTTCAAGGGACTCACCCCTCCTTGTTTCTATGGTGGGTGAAGTCAGGTAGGAAAGGCGTGTGTCTCAGGGGGCGGAGGTCCAGGCATCAGCGGTGATCCTTGCCCCCCTGGAGAAAGACGGGTCATGGGGAACCGCTGATGAATCTTCAGCTGAAGGAGGAACAAAGATGTTCCACAGATGTCCTCCAACCTCTGACCTTCAGTACAGCTAATCATCCAATCAGATAAAAACTGTGTCAATCTTTATGAAATATCTGTGACTTCCTGAATGTAGTCAGGTGTGGATTGAGTGGCAGACTGATTGTGGGAGTGTGGCCAGATGGGGATGTACGTCTTTGATGTCTTTCATTGTCATCTGGGCTCGTGGCTCGTGTTGAACCTTTTGACTTATACCCTAGACATGTCTAATAACAAGACACATGGTACTAGATTAACCTGGAGTCAAGAGGAATTAGTTTAAAGAACTGCCAATTATATCTGGTCATTATTATCATATCTTGGTCATAAAAAAAAGTAAGCAAGCAGGTATGGTTTTACACAACTTTTAGCAATATTCCAGCAATATCATGGCAGGGACACCAGAAATTGGCTTCACACATTGTACCCATGTGGGGAATCAAACCCAGGTCTTCAGCATGATGAGTGAACGCTTTAACCTGCAGCCTACCTCACTGCACCACATAAAATAAGAGCCAGTTCAGCTGCTAAACATTTGGTTATTCAATCCAAAGATGTTCTTTTTCAATCATGACATACTACCCATGGGGTTCTGCTATTGTGTCAAACACCGGAGTTCTTATAAAGCATATTTGAATTATTTGGAATATGAAAAATGACAAGGATATTGGGGCTGATTAACCTATTTAACAGTAAAGTTAATTGGTTGGCTGTCATCATTACCATAACACAGTAAACTATGTTTATAACAAACAGATTTTTGTCTCAGCCTCTGCTGTATATTTTAGTTGAAATGCGTTTTACGAACTATGGATGTACTGAACTAAAATAAATGGTCCCTTGGGTTTGTAACTGGGTATACCTAAATAGAATCTAAACAGTCAGCTGATATTATCCCTTAATGGCTTTGAATTTGCTTGCACATAAGGGACATCCTTACTTTAATCACAAAGGATATCTTTATCAGTGGGCAAGGTTATCGGTATCTCCTCAGGCTTAAAATCTTTGTTTTGTTCGTTGTTGAAGTCATTACTCAGCAATATTGCAGCTATATGATGATGGTCTGCAAATATTCCAATCTGGACCAGAATGTCCATGGATTGACATCATCAGCATCTACTGAGTGAGTGAGTGTGTGAGTTTAGTTTTTTATGCCGCTTTTACCAATATTCCAGCAATATCATGGCGGGGGACACCAGAAATGGGCTTAACACATTGTACCCATGTGGGGAATCGAACCCGGGTCGACGGATCAGCATCTACTGACACAATGGACTTGGTAGACATGTCATTGTATCCCTATTACATAGGTCGATGCTCATGATGTTGATCACTGGATTGTCTGGTCCAGATTCAAATATTTACAGACTGCCGCCATATAGCAGGAATATTGCTGAGTGTGGCGTAAAACTAAACTCACTCAATAAATACTTTGTCTGAAATGAGCAAAATTGATTAACTTGCAATGTGGGATGTGAAAGTTCTTAAATTCTTTATATATGAATTTGATCAGAATGTCACAAATATTAAGACAGGTATGCTATTTCTTTTGGGAGGAAACATGACTGATTTGACTGCTGCCTTACAGCTGGAATATTGCTGAGTGCTGCAGTAAACAACAAACAATAAACAAACTACCTACACAATAGGGATACGATGACATACATCAATCGCTTACATCCTGCTCGTGCAGGTCGACTCATACACATTTATTAAACCTCACTATAGTCTGTTTGCAGTGAAAATGTACCGATGAATTTCACTTTAAACAAAAAAGTAAATCAAATAAAGTGAAATTGAGATTGTAAATTTGTCATAACTTTACCTTGCCAATTGAACATTAAAATCTCAGAATTTTATTCAACTTAGGATAAAAGTTGTTTAACAAACGATCATAGTTTCAAATTGCTATTATTGGTTTGTATTACAAGGGGTATGCACATTAAATGAAACTCCTGAGAACAAGTAGGGTTGGTGTAAGTTAACGCTCATCACATACAGCATGTGCATTTGTTTCACTGTTCCAACTACTGCGCGTACCCCCTTGTAATACAAACCAATAATAACGATTTGAATCTATGATCGTTTGTTAAACAATTTTTATCATAAGTTGAATAAAATTCTGAGAGTTAAATGTTCAATTGGCAAGGTAAAATTATAAGGATTCGCAATCTTAATTTCACTTTATTTGATTTACTTTTTTGTTTAAAGTGAAATTCATCGGTACGTTTTCACTGCAAACAGACTATACCAGTGGTTTTTGGTAAGTTGCTGAACAAGTTTGGACAAATGAAATGATGCGAACATTTATTGTTTCACTAAAACTTCATGACTTCTGAAGAAGATATTGCATTATCAGCCACTCAAAATGGTAAATGTTGATTCAAGACACTTCACACTGACTGGCATGCTATCCAAAATTTTCTTTTTAACAAATTTGTGAGCATGTGCAAAAGGTAGTATTAAAATGTCTTATTTGCCTCAAAATGAATGATAATTGCCATTTAAATGCTATGTCCTCAAATTGAACTTGTAGCACCATGCAAGCCTGAGTTTCTTGATTGCATCTGCTTTGTCTCTGGAGGTTGATCTTGAAAAAACTTCTGTGGATAACCACCTTTCATTAATTCAAGGTCAGCCTGTGGCCACTTGTCCTTGAAAAAAACACCCCACTCCTTGTAATTTGTGGAAACATAACTCTCAACACAGCAGACGTTTGTCCTCAGCCTGAACTTACGAAAGAGCAAGATTATCACCTCCATCAAGTGTGTCAAGAGCGGGGTAATTTGGTATTAATCAACTATTGTAACCAGAAAATCTTTGAAACACTCGTAATTACAACTTCATATTCCTTCTAACCCCAAAGGCGTGAACTTCGTAAACTATTACAACTCTCCTTGACTTCATGTAAACAATAGAGGTAAACAACTACCCCATTCCATCACAGAAACTCTGTTACTGGTCGGAGCAACCCCGTAATTAGTAATTTCGATGTCCATTTATCAACGAAGTTTGTGGACAAAAAAGGTGTGATTATCACCTCACCTATGACAGCTGGCCCCCCAACCAGGTCCGAGTAGTCCCCTCACCCCCATGGCCTGAGGGGGTTAAGGTAGGGATGACAGTGTGGGGCAGTGTTTGCCAGCTAGGGGTCTATTACGGAGTGCCAACATTCAATTAGAAATGTTTATCAGCGGAACAAGTAATACATTGTCGATAGAGGTAAATCGAATTGTGTTCATGGTGCTTCGGGTGATGGGAGGAAATGGTTTCTTTGTATATTTTGAGATTCATGGGAAATTGGACATTGAAGCTGATCAGAATAATATTCTTTGTAAAAATCCAGCCTGTGGCTCTCTTGGATACTTATGGTAAATTTACTATGATTCACTGGATTGTCAACACGTCATGTTTTTTTTCAAAACATGTTTATATCTTCATGGTTGTAGCTAAATACCCTGAGGACACATCTGTCCTTTGTTGATACATATCCGTTTCAAACGTCACAAACTAATGCTTGAGAATGAATTCATTTAATATAAAAGGAGAACGGATCCTTACTGTAATTTAATCACTGGTGAGGAGTAAAATGGTTATATCACATACAGCTACTGTCCATACACGAGGACCGCCTCCGTGGTGTAGTGGTTAGAGCGTCCGCCCGGAGAGCGGAAGGTCGCGGGTTCGATTCCCGACCGCGTCATACCAAAAGACGTTAAAATATGGTACTTGTTGGTCCCTGTCTGGCACTCGGCATTAATGGGAACAAGAAGGACTGGTCGGCTCAGAGTCAGTATAATGTGTTTGAGTGGGGTATTCATGCTTCATTGCGGCATGGTATCTCAGTGGGCTAGCACTATAAAACCAGCTTCAGTCTGGGCTAGTACAAGCAGCCGCACATACACATACACACGCATGCACGTCGTCATATGAGCGAAATATTCTCAAGCACGACGTTAAACCCAATTTCACCTCAACTCACCTCACCTCACCCATACACGAGGGTCTTATCTGTGATGATCCATGTTAGAATTGGTCTTCTGCAACCGATTCCTGTCGTAAGAGGTGACTAACTGGATATGGTGACCATACTCACAGGCTTGGTTGCTGCATGCATCATATGCCACTGTGTATCTACACATCTACAAGATGTGCATGATGTCAATCATTGGATTATCTGGTCCAAGCTTGCTGGGGTTAGGATTGTTTACCAACTGCAATCATACAGCTTTTATATTGAAAAGGAGCCCTAGGGAGACCAGCCATTCAGAACCTGAAGCGGAATTAAAGAACAAAATAATGCTTGGGTTGGGGATGAAACATCATCTACTCTGTACATGTATACATCGTACAGTTTGAATCTTGGCTGCTCGGTTCATTTGATGATGATAGACTGGATCATATTTATACAATGTATGACAGGGGTGGAAATAACTTTAAAATTGCTAGTGTACTCCGGTATGGTGGCATATGTAAAATCACTTGTCCTGATAATTTTTCCACTATACTGTCCGTTTTCTTGTTGATTTTTTAAATAAACAACATAATTAATATTGGAAAGTCAACTGGACACCGGTACAGTGTGATATACAAATTTGCTTGCCCGACAGAAAAAACACTGGACTCGGACGTCGGGCAATGGGTTATTTCCACCCCTGCATGAGTGAGTGAGTATACTTTTACGCCACTTTTAGCAATATTCCAACAATACCATGGCGGGGACACACAAAAAATGGCCTTCAAACACATGGGGAATCAAACCCGGGTCTTTGGTGGGACGTGCAAATGCTTTAACATCTAGGCTGCCACGCTACCCCTTTATAATTATGAAAATTTGTTTTACCCATTATCTGCAGTTTACAGTATTCAAGTCTTGACAATGTTATCAGAGACATCACATCAAGATCACTTGTTCTCATTTACTTGTGCTTTCATATTTGCTTATCTATCCTTGTATGACTGCAACAGATTCTGTTTTTATGTGTTGCCCTATGCACCTCATCAATTAAATCGGGCCGGTGGGGTAGCCTAGTGGTTAAAGCATTGGCTCGTCATGCTGAAGACCCGTGTTCGAATCCCCACATGGGTACAATGTGTGAAGCCCATTCCTGGTGTCCCCTGCCGTGATATTGCTGGAATATTGCTAAAAGCGGCGTAAAACCATACTCACTCACTCATCAATTAAATCAAATGTAAGTCAAGGGTATTTTTAAGAAAATATACTGTTCACAACAGACATATATTTCTTAATAGCACGTTCTGACTACAAATCAATACAGATCTCAACAAATTCCAGTGTTATTATTTATCAGCCTCTAGTGTCATTGTGTAGGACATTCAGTGAATGTGTTTACTGTTTCAGCAATGAGCTGGATATTGGCAATCTGGTCAGTGAGCACTCCTACCGCCATCTAGAGAATATGAAGGCTCACTCTTTCGCTGTCAGCGGAACCCGGAAGACGGCCACTGTGGTAAGTAGGGGATCACAGTTGTTTGTAGAGGACCGATTTTGTAGTAGAGGACCACGGTTGTTAGTAGAGGACCGATTTTGTAGTAGAGAACCACAGTTGTTTGTAGATGACCGATTTTGTAGTAGAGAACCACAGTTGTTTGTAGAGGACCGATTTTGTAGTAGGGGACTACAGTTGTTTGTAGAGGACCGATTTTGTAGTAGAGAACCACAGTTGTTTGTAGAGGACCGATTTTGTAGTAGGGGACTACAGTTGTTTGTAGAGGACTGATTTTGTAGTAGAAAACCACAGTTTTTTGTAGAGGACCACAGTTGTTTGTAGAGGACCGATTTTGTAGTAGAGAACCACAGTTGTTTGTAGATGACCGATTTTGTAGTAGAGAACCACAGTTGTTTGTAGAGGACCGATTTTGTAGTAGGGAACTACAGTTGTTTGTAGAGGACCGATTTTGTAGTAGAGAACCACAGTTGTTTGTAGAGGACCGATTTTGTAGTAGGGGACTACAGTTGTTTGTAGAGGACTGATTTTGTAGTAGAAAACCACAGTTTTTTGTAGAGGACCGATTTTGTAGTAGGGGACTACAGTTGTTTGTAGAGGACTGATTTTGTAGTAGGGGACCACAGTTGTAAGTAGGGGACCACAGTTGTTTGTAGAGGACCGATTTTGTAGTAGGGGACTACAGTTGTTAGTAGAGGACCGATTTTGTAGTAGGGGACCACAGTTGTTTGTAGAGGACCGATTTTGTAGTAGAGAACCACAGTTGTTAGTAGATGACCGATTTTGTAGTAGAGAACCACAGTTGTTTGTAGAGGACCGATTTTGTAGTAGGGGACTACAGTTGTTAGTAGAGGACCGATTTTTTAGTAGGGGACTACAGTTGTTTGTAGAGGACCGATTTTGTAGTAGAGGACCGCAGTTGTTTGTAGAGGACTGATTTTGTAGTAGGGGACTACAGTTGTTTGTAGAGGACCGATTTTGTAGTAGAGAACCACAGTTGTTAGTAGATGATCGATTTTGTAGTAGAGAACCACAGTTGTTAGTAGATGATCGATTTGGTAGTAGGGGACCTCAGTTGTTTGTAGAGGACTGATTTTGTAGTAGGGGACCACAGTTGTGAGTATAGGACCATGACTGTTATTACCACTCTAGTAAGTAGGTGACCACTGTAGCGATGAAGAGTTAATATTATTTGATGCCATAGTCACCAATATTTCACAGTGGCTTGTGAAAACATATATTTGGATCCCTGCCTTTGGGGAGCAGAGACATTCAGTTCATCAAGCCTGACTCCAGATCCAATGTAATCATCCTATGACAAGCAAGTTTTAACCATACCAGAACAGATGTCACAGCACCAGGACACCATTTTACCCACTGGCAACAGTATTGCCTTCTGTTTTTACTATGAAGTCACCTTATGAACCTATGAAAGTAATTCAACTGCAGAATTGGTTTCATTTTATCTTTTGTCCATCTTTGAAATGAATACCTTACGTTAATGTTGTTTGTGAAATGTACACCTGACTTTTGACTTCCCATTGCAGCTGTTTTCCTCCAAACGTCGTGTGAGGATCTTCCTCATGGATGCAGAGGAGGAAGAAGATGAAGACGATGAGGAAGATATCACCCATGGGGAAGGGGAAATTGACAAGTCCCAAACTGAGAGTCAATCGGAGCCAAGGGCAGAGGACAGCCAGGTGATGGAGGATGTCGGTGGGGACGAAGACAAGGAGAACACGTCTAGCATCTACTCAGAGGACTCCTGAAGGTCAAGGTCATCCACCATAGGTGTTGTGAGGAAGCTTGTACACAGATTGAGCAATATTACAGCAATCTCACAGTAGGGAAAACAAAGAATTCGCAGCAAACAATTCAAACCCTGGTTTAGGCATGAAAATTACACCCTTTAACCACAAGGCTACACCCTTCTACAGCGCTGAGTGAGTGAGTTTAGTTTTACGCCTCACTCAGCAATATTCCAGCTATATGGCGACGGTCTGTAAATAATCGAGTCTGGACCAGACAATCCAGTGATCAACAGCATGAGCATCGATCTGCGCAATTGGGAACCGATGACATGTGTCAACCAAGTCAGCGAGCCTGACCACCCGATCCCGTTATTCGCTCTTTTACGACAAGCTCTACAGAGCTGAAATATCTTCAGTCACCAATGGCTGACATGCAGTGCAATATCACAATGGATGCATATTCAGTCTGCCCCAAATGCTTCCAATCTTGTTAGCACCGATTCACTATTCATATCCTATGTATGTTAATTCTCTGCCTCCTGTGTTCAATTGTCTTCAAGCTACAAGATGTAGGTGCAGAAGCCTTCAGTAGCTGGAGGTTGTATTCCATATAATCAAACATGTAAACACTGTTACCAGTTATATGTATATTGGATTGTATTTGTACAATACATGGTTGTGTAGGATAGTCAACTGTTGTTACAGTGCAATAAAACTGTATTGGCTTTTACTGTTGTCATTTGATATATTTTACTGGTGCTTCAAACACTATCGCTATTTTTTATATTTACCATGCTGGTTGTATCTTCATCAGTGAGAGTTGATTGTTGTTTAACACCGCACTCAGCAATATTCCAGCTATATGGCGGCAGTCTGTAAATTGAGTCTGGACCAGGCAATCCACAGCATGTGCATCGATACTTGTAACTGAGATATGATGACACGTGTCAACTAAGTCACCGAGCCTGACCACCCGATCCCGTTATTTGCCTGTTATGACCATCAATTCTAACCCAGATCTTCACGGGTATATTATGCAAGCATTGTTAACTATCCAGTTCTCAGAGTTGTAGTTCACAAACTGTAAACACAAGTTCACAAAGTGGACAAACTTGTACCATTTACTGTATTATATATTTATTACACTGAAGCACTCACACACAACACACATCCATGGTTTGCTCTGATGCTTTCTTCAACAAGAGTTCCATATACACATCTACTGGGTGAGTTGTTAATCTTCTACACACACGACCTTGACAAACTAATCATTTGATCCCCAATCTCTACAGCTCCCTTTCTAAAAAAACTGCTCTATCCTTGTAACCTATAGTCTGCGAAATGAGAACAATGAATTGAAAAATATAAAAACCTTTAGTCTGTTTGACTTGAAATGAGAACGATGAATTGAAAAATATATTATAGTTGTGACCATCAGCAGTGACACAAGCAGTTTTGACGAAGTGGCTTGTTACATGAGTGAGTCATATTGTGACTAAAATTATTATGAGATGACCCCTCTTTTGCTGTCATGTCATGGGAAGCACCTGTAGTACATGTCCTCTCCCTCCTACTGTTGTGCACCCCTCCTGTTAAGATGTCAACATAACCCCATGATCGTTTCTTAAACATAATTTTCAGTGATAGGTATAAAAATACCAAGTGAAAGATGTTGGGTACAGGGTATTCATTGCCATGTACCATGCATGCATTTTGTAGGCTATTCCCGATTTTGAGTTATTTTGCAATTGATTGTTCTCATTTAGAAACAAATGGAATACACAATGTGGGTAGTCCAGTTAAATATTCATATTCCGGGATAAGGTGAGTGAATATAGTTGTTACTATGTTTAGCAATATCCAGCCTGGGACACCAGGCCCCGATTTCAAAACAAACTTAAGTTTTTACTCAAATTTCAAACTGAGTTTGACAATTTGAAACAGCTGAAGTTTTAACTCAACTTCATTTTTAAAATAAAAAAAGCCCAAACAACTTAAGTAATCTATCCACCAAACTCAAATTGTCTACTATGTTTGAGTTAAATATCAATTTCAGTTTATTCTAGGAAATGCATTTTCTCAAATTTGAGTACAAACTCTAACTTAAGTCAAAACTCAGACTTAAGTTTGTTTCGAGAAATCGGGGCCAGAAATATTCTTCATAGCAGACACTGTAACCACTAAGCTACCCCCATTGCCCACAGTATAGGGTATCTGATTTAATAAATCAATCCCTTGAGAAATCAAATTTGATGAAGATTTGAGTATTAAAAATATGTGGCCACTTTGATATGTATGTCTTTTTATCTTTCCATGATGCAACTACATCTCATAATATATATAGAGAGGACATTAAAAATAACATTTGGTTAACCCTATCAAACTTTGAGTAGTATATAGAGTCCAGCATTATGCTGCATGCTGCTCCACATTCATGGCTGATCCAAACATGGCAGCTTCCTCCGAACCAGAGAAGCACACAAGGTAGGTGGAGGATCATATCTGACCAGGTGTGACATCTGCGTCCCTGGTAGTGAAACACTGTACAGTCCTGACATCAGATCTCAATCCAGCTTTCGCCTGCTCAGGGTGTTGAGGAACTCCACAAGAGTCCTGGTTGGTCGCCCTGAGAACATCACATGTAAAAAAAGTTTTGGTTTGAACACATGCCAACAGACTTATTCATTAATAACTTTTTCATATTCCTTATCCTTAAATGTATGAATCCAAGCACTGACACAAGGGTGGAAATAACCCATTGCCCGAGTCCAGTGTTTTTTTCTGTCGGGCAAGCAAATTTGTATATCACACTGTACCGGTGTCTAGTTGACTTTCCAATATTAATTATGTTGTTTTTTAAAAAATCAACAAGAAAATGGCTGGTATAGTGGAAAAATTATCAGGGCAAGTGATTTTACATGTGCCACTGTACCGGAGTACACTAGCAATTTTAAAGTTATTTCCACCCCTGTGACATCACTATTGACACAAGATGTTAAACTTGATCAAGTAATTATTTCACAAGTGAGAACCTTTCTTCAGATGTGAGGCATTTTCAGAGACTGAACTGATTCAATGCCATATTTGGCAACAATTTCAGACAGGTCTGCGAAGAATATAAACACTTACAGAATTTCAGTGAAACAAGTGAATCAGCATAAGAAATGAGTGAGTTTAGTTTTAAGCCACTTTTAGCATTATACAAGCAATATCACGGTAGGGGACACCAGAAATGGGCTTCACACATTGTACCCATGTGGGGATCGAACCCGGTCTTCGGCCTAACGAGTGAATGCTTTAACCACTAGGCTACCCCACTACCCCCAGCATAAGAGAGGATATCAAAGAATGTAATTGTTCTACATAAACACAAGTCTGTATGTGGCCACCAGTACCTGCCATCCCCTTGCCGAGGTACGGCACCTCGTCCTTGTTCATCATCACGCCAGCAATGTCCAGGTGGAGCCACCGCTTGTTTGTCACAAACTCCTGCAACCAAGATGAGGCCATTTGCTTGACAAAGATTCACATTTTTTGTCAAACTCTCAAAAATGGGAAGGAAAGGCACAAGAAACAACTTGTAACAAAACCAGCTGGGGACTTGTCTACAAACGCACAAATCGTTTCTCAATTACTTTTGTATTTAAGTGCAAAAATCTTTGTCTGTCCTTACATCTGACCACCAAGATAGTCTCTCCTGCCAGCACTGGATGCTTTGTTCCTGTACAGTTACGCGTGACCCTCACCTTTAAGAATGCTGCAGCAGTACATGAGCCACCTTCGCGGGAGTATTTGCCGATGTTGTTGAGGTCAGCAAGGTCACAATGGGTCACCTGGTTTGTGTAGTGCTTGAATAATGGCATGCGCCATACCCGATCCCCTGTCCGAGTACCTGCCTAAGATAACGAAAGGCTCATTATAGTTAGACCCATGTCAGTGATCTGATACAGGGAAATGCAATGTATGTACGGCTACATATTATTCTTAAAAGTGAGGAAGGAAATCAGGATTTTAAATTTAAAAAATTAAAGTAAAAAACAAAACAAAAGATCCAGAGCTATTATTTTGCACATCAAGCATATAATGAACACAACTTGTTACACTGAGTGGGTTAGATCGCTGGCTTAGTGTGCTGGCAATTAAATGTCCCACGCTGAGAGTTTGGATTCAAATCCTCTATAGGAATCAACCTAACAAAAGAACTAGAATCTGTACTTTACTGAGTGAGTGAGTTTAGTTTTACGCTGCACTCAGCAATATTCCAGCTAAATGGTGGCGGTCTGTAAATAGGCGAGTCTGGACCAGACAATCCAGTGATCAACAGCATGAGCATCGATCTACGCAACTGGGATACGATGGCAAGTGTCAACCAAATCAACGAGCCTGACCACCCGATCCCTTTAGTCACCTCTTACGACAAGCATGGGTTAGTGAAGATCAATTCCAAACCGGATCTTCACAGGTAGTACTCTACTGAGAAACATGTATATGATTCATCTGAGCACTTTCTAAAATGCATCATCTATTCATAACTCATTACACAGTTAACTAATAGTCATCACTACCTTGTCAGTTGCCAAGCATGCAGCATGAGGTAAATAATTAAAACAACATGACCTACAAGCAGAATTTTAAAGAAAATAACAATTGGCTGTGGCTGCAGTGTCAAAGAACTCCCAGCTAAGGTTGAACACAAAATGATTCCACGTATCAATAAATATGATTACTGAATCCCATACCTTCTGGATGACGTCCCACATGGGAGTGGAGTTGGTGTACACTGCAGTAGCACCGCTGCCGAGAGCCACAGCTACAGCCCCTGTAAGACACGAGTGAGTGAGTGAGTGTGTCTAATACCTTATGCTGTATCTCACCAATGCCACACATCCTTCATTGTGCAATGATTGGAAATGAAAATCAGGGATTGTAATTTTAGATAGATTTTCATATAAGACTATTCTCTAACCAGATTAGTTGAAACACATTTTACCAGAGAGTAAAGACGTCACATATTGGGAAGGGGTTAGGTCCCTTGAATACAAGGGGAAGTAACTCACCTGTGAGGGTTGCAAGGTCAAGGATGAGGCTGGGCTTAAAGGTTTCGGCATAACAGAGCGCATCAGCTAGAATAAGTCTGCCCTCGGCATCTGTGTTGTCTACCTGCAGGAACAATCTACAAGTTGTAACCATGGTAACAGGGTGGATCAAAACCATAGAATATTTCCATAATCAAAATATATCTTATACTTCAGACAGGTAATGTGTAATTTCTCTAAGCTAAATGATTTATTCACTCATTCAATAATATATTGGGAAGGATCCAGGTGTTCAAGAGAGATTTGTACCTGTATAGTTTTGCCGTTCATAGCTTGGACAACATCGCCTGGTTTCAGGGCTCGGCTACTGGGCATGTTCTCACACAGAGGTATCAGACCTAGATGACGAGAAATTGCTATTAGCAGAATCACAGTACAAGTCAGTCAATTAAGGACTCAGATCTCGGCAAAGAGAGAGTGCAAATTGTTAACATCGAATCACAGTGAATATCTTTTCAACAGAATCATGTGTGCATACCAACATAAGGAAAGACGAAAGCTGTAAATTATTCAGCTTGTTTATACTAGGATGGTGGACTTAAGTATATGTGTAAATTTGGTCACGTTGCTATATGGCTGAAATAATGCTAATACGACATAACATCTTAACTTGCTCCCCTTCTAACAGGGTGGGTAAGGTGAATCAGTGAGGCTTTACTCTGAGATTAGCAGTATTCATGCAGTGTATGAAATAAGGCCCGTCCGACCGCCCGAGATGGTCTAGAATTCTCACGGACGGTCTAAATTTACAGCTAGCCAGCCCGATGGTCTGGTAAAATGTTTAGATGTTCCAAACATCTGAGTAAATTCACCATATTTGGTCTGGTTAAATCCGGGATTTGTGGCTTATTTCATACACTGATTCATGACAGAGCCACCTAAGATGTATGTTTCACACATATGTGGCCATATAAACAATGCTCTTTGACAGGCAATAATTCAACCACTAGGCAGCCCAAATATCCCTTACTGACCATGACACTGGAAAAAATCCAGACAAACTGTTATCATTTTCCGTGAACATTTTCACATTGAATTCCATCAGAAGCTCTCAAAACAATCACTGGGTTCACAAACCTATACTACCCAAGGACCAAATTGAAACGAAAACCTGTGGAGACATCCCACAGATGACATCCATACCTTGTCACCTCGTCAGCTTCTTTGGCCATGTGAACAAGGAATCTCAATTTAGATCAGAAGGTCCAGGGTTCGAATCCAGTCGTGGTTTGTGGCTTCTACCAAAGCATATAAACAAGGGTCACTACAAACAAGCATACAGATTACCTTTAATGTTTACGGGCAGCCTGAGCCTCGATGTAGCTAACAGCGTCCCCACCACGCATGCCGCCCCACCCATATCTGCCCTCATCTTGTCCATGTCCGCCCCAGGCTTCAGCGAAATGCCTCCACTGTCAAACGTGATGCCCTTGCCTACCAGGGCGATGGGCGTGTCCCCTGTGCCCCACCCTGATAGTCAATCTCCAGGAAGAGAGGCTGCTCTACTGAGCCCTTGGCCACTGACAGGAAGGACTCCATTTTGTGTTCTTCAGCCCAAGCCTTGTTTCTGGTGAAGAGAAGTGAGTGAGTTGAGTTCAATGCTTTGAACAATATTTCAGTTGTATCAGGGTGTATTGGCTTTATTTGGTAGGAAAGCCCAAAGTGATGCACATCTAGGATGTTTCAGTGAAACCAATGTGAATGGATATGCTGCATACGCCAATCTTATACGACCTACAATGGCTTCCAATTCGCCATCGGATTGTTTACAAATTACTGATGTTTGTGTTTAAAGCTCTTCATGGTCTAGCCCCTCTGTATCTAGAACAGGTTTTAGCCAGATACCAACCTCAGAGAATGCTGCAGTCAGCTTCTCTTCAACAACTAAATGTCCCCAACAAGAACAACACTCTACGTTGACAGCAGTTTTGTCAAAGCAGGCCCTTCACTCTGGAATAAACTCCCACCAAATATCCAGCAAATCAATGATTGTGAGATATTTCAAAGTGAGCTGAAGACCACTTGTTCAAACGAGCCTATGACCTGCGCCTTTGAGCAAATTTTGTATTTAGGCTCAATACGAATATCAACTTTATTATATATTATTACTATTATCACAAATCATGTAACAAGGGAGGGATCTGGGATTTGAACCCAGGATCACTGGTTTCTGGTATACGATGCCGTGCCCCAGAAGCTGGGACACCTGTGCCCTTGGGGAGCATAAAGGAGGGAAAGAAAAAGGTAAGAGAGAGAGAGAGTGAGGGAGAAGGTGAGGTGAGGTGAAGTTGGATTTAACGTCGCGCTGGAGAATATTTCACTCATATGACGACGGGCATGTGTGTGTGTGTGTATGTGGGGCTGCTTGTACTAGCCCAGACTTAAGCTGGTTTTATAGTGCTAGCCCACTGAGATACCATGCCGCAGTGAAGCATGAATACCCCACTCAGACACATTATTCTGACTCTGAGCCGACCAGTCCTTGTTGTACCCATTAATGCCAAGCGCCAGGCAGGGACCACCAAGTACCATATTTTAACGTCTTTTGGTATGACGCGGTCGGGGATCGAACCCGCACGACCTTCCGCTCTCCGAGGCGGACGCTCTAACCACTACACCACGGAGGCGGTCCTGAGGGAGAAGGTGATGACAAAAGTCTACTTAATAGTAAGGGTGTATGGGTTTAAGGGGAGATTAAAACACTGAACACAATGTCAACACATACACAATAACTGGAAGAGAGTTTTTATTGTGTGATGAAGCAGGCAACTAGGGCCACCCCTAGCCCTCATATTTCTCTGTCAATTCTAGCAAACATACAACCCGTGAAGGTCTGGGTTACAATATTGGCCTTCAGTAACCCATGCTTATCGTAAGAGGTGACTAACGGTATCGGGTGGTCAGGCTCACTGACTTGGTTGACACGTTATCGGTTCCCAATTGCACAGTGGTCCAGACTTGATTATTTACAGACCGCCGCCATATAGCTGGAATATTGCTGAGTGCGGCGTAAAACTCAACTCACTCACTCACTCACTCACTAGCAAACATACAAGTTGTAAGATACAACTTCCCAATATATGAATACATTGGCATAACATATTTTCAACATGATAATATTTTCGTTAACAGATGATAGTAGTCAAATGTTGACTAAGTGAGTTATCCCCCTTGACTGTCCATTTACGAAACTTTAAAAATCACAAGGTCAGGTTTGTGCTATAGTTGTTTCCTTGTATACGAAACATCATTGTCTGCCTACCTGACAGTGACTGTACACTGGTGACTCTGGTTCAACTTGTCCTGGGCTAGCCTGGCAAATATACTGGGGGTCATGTAGTTGGAGGGTGCCTCCATCAGGTACCGCCAGGTTCTGCCCCTCTGCCAATGTCACACCGCTGCCATGACTCTTTCGTTGACGTGCTGAAACATTGGGTAAAGTATATATATAACAGTGTCATACCATGCTGCTCTGTCTCCCTCACATCTGGGCTGAAACACTGTTCATCGGTCTATTGGATCTTGGGTATGAGGCATCACGGGTTGATGGACCACGGTTATGATGGACCATGAGTCAATGGATCATGGGTATGATGGACCATGAGTCAATGGATCATGGGTATGATGGACCATGAGTCAATGGATCACGGTTATGATGGACCATGAGTCAATGGATCATGGTTATGATGGACCATGAGTCAATGGATCATGGGTATGATGGACCATGAGTCAATGGATCATGGGTATGATGGACCATGAGTCAATGGATCATGGTATGATGGACCATGAGTCAATGGATCATGGGTATGATGGACCATGAGTCAATGGATCATGGTTGATGGACCATGGACCAATGAGTCAATTGATCATTGGTATGATGGACCATGAGTCAATTCATCATGGGTATGATGGACCATGAGTCAATGGATCATGGGTATGATGGACCATGAGTCAATGGATCATTGGTATGATGGACCATGAGTCAATGGATCATTGGTATGATGGACCATGGGTCAATTGATCATGAGTCAATTGATCATTGGTATGATGGACCATGAGTCAATTCATCATGGGTATGATGGACCATGAGTCAATGGATCATGGTTATGATGGACCATGAGTCAATGGATCATTGGTACGATGGACCATGAGTCAATGGATCATGGATATGATGGACCATGAGTCAATGGATCATGGGTATGATGGACCATGAGTCAATGGATCATGGGTATGATGGACCATGAGTCAATGGATCATGGGTATGATGGACCATGAGTCAATGGATCATGGGTATGATGGACCATGAGTCAATGGATCATTGGTATGATGGACCATGGGTCAATGGATCATGAGTCAATTGATCATTGGTATGATGGACCATGAGTCAATTCATCATGGGTATGATGGACCATGAGTCAATGGATCATGGGTATGATGGACAATGAGTCAATGGATCATTGGTATGATGGACCATGAGTCAATGGATCATTGGTATGATGGACCATGGGTCAATTGATCATGAGTCAATGGATCATGGTATGATGGACCATGAGTCAATGGATCATGGGTATGATGGACCATGAGTCAATGGATCATGGTTATGATGGACCATGAGTCAATGGATCATTATGGGACCATGAGTCAATGGATCATGGACCATGAGTCAATGGATCATGGATATGATGGACCATGAGTCAATGGATCATGGGTATGATGGACCATGAGTCAATGGATCATGGTATGATGGACCATGAGTCAATGGATCATGGGTATGATGGACCATGAGTCAATGGATCATGGGTATGATGGACCATGAGTCAATGACCATCATGGGGGTATGATGGACCATGAGTCAATGGATCATGGGTATGATGGACCATGAGTCAATGGATCATGGGTATGATGGACCATGAGTCAATGGATCATGGGTATGATGGACCATGAGTCAATGGATCATGGGTATGATGGACCATGAGTCAATTGATCATGGGTATGATGGACCATGAGTCAATGGATCATGGTGGACCATGAGTCAATGGATCATGGTTATGATGGACCATGAGTCAATGGATCATGGGTATGATGGACCATGAGTCAATGGATCATGGGTATGATGGACCATGAGTCAATGGATCATGGGTATGATGGACCATGAGTCAATTGATCATGGGTATGATGGACCATGGTTATGATGGACCATGAGTCAATGGATCATTGGTATGATGGACCATGAGTCAATGGATCATGGGTATGATGGACCATGAGTCAATGGATCATGGGTATGATGGACCATGAGTCAATGGATCATGGGTATGATGGACCATGAGTCAATTGATCATGGCATGATGGACCATGAGTCAATGGATCATGGGTATGATGGACCATGAGTCAATGGATCATTGGTATGATGGACCATGAGTCAATGGATCATTGGTATGATGGACCATGAGTCAATGGATCATGGGTGATGGACCATGAGTCAATGGATCATGGTTATGATGGACCATGAGTCAATGGATCATGGGTATGATGGACCATGAGTCAATTCATCATGGGTATGATGGACCATGAGTCAATGGATCATTGGTATGATGGACCATGAGTCAATGGATCATGGGTATGATGGACCATGAGTCAATGGATCATGGGTATGATGGACCATGAGTCAATGGATCATGGGTATGATGGACCATGAGTCAATGGATCATTGGTATGATTGACCATGAGTCAATTGATCATGGGTATGATGGACGATGATTATGGTGGACCATGAGTCAATTGATCATGGTTATGATGGACCATGAGTCAATGGATCATGGGTATGGTGGACCATGAGTCAATGGATCATGGGTATGATGGACCATGAGTCAATGGATCATGGGTATGGTGGACCATGAGTCAATGGATCATTGGTATGATGGACCACGAGTATGATGGACCATGAGTCAATGGATCATGGGTATGATGGACCATGAGTCAATGGATCATTGGTATGATGGACCATGAGTCAATGGATCATGGTATGATGGACCATGAGTCAATGGATCATGGGTATGATGGACCATGAGTCAATGGATCATGGGTATGATGGACCATGAGTCAATGGATCATGGTATGATGACCATGAGTCAATGGATCATTGGTATGATGGACCATGAGTCAATTGATCATGGGTATGATGGACGATGGTTATGATGGACCATGAGTCAATTGATCATGGTTATGATGGACCATGAGTCAATTGATCATGGTTATGATGGACCATGAGTCAATTGATCATGGTTATGATGGACCATGAGTCAATGGATGATGGTTATGATGGACCATGAGTCAATGGATCATGGGTATGGTGGACCATGAGTCAATGGATCATTGGTATGATGGACCATGGGTCAATGGATCATGGGTATGATGGACCATGAGTCAATGGATCATGGGTATGATGGACCATGAGTCAATGGATCATGGGTATGATGGACCATCAGTCAATGGATCATTGGTATGATTGGCCATGAGTCAATTGATCATGGGTATGATGGACGATGGTTATGGTGGACCATGAGCCAATTGATCATGATTATGATGGACCATGAGTCAATGGATCATGGGTATGGTGGACCAGGAGTCAATGGATCATTGGTATGATGGACCATGAGTCAATGGAACATGGGTATGGTAGACCATGAGTCAATGGATCATTGGTATGATGGACCACGAGTCAATGGATCATGGGCATGATGGACCATGAGTCAATGGATCATTGGTATGATGGACCATGAGTTAATGGATCATTGGTATGATGGACCATGAGTCAATTGATCATTGGTATGATGGACCATGAGTCAATGGATCATTGGTATGATGGACCATCAGTCAATGGATCATGGGTATGGTGGACCATGAGTCAATGGATCATTGGTATGATGGACCATGAGTCAATGGATCATTGGTATGATGGACCATGAGTCAATTGATCATGGGTATGATGGACCATGGTTATGATGGACCATGAGTCAATTGATCATGGTTATGATGGACCATGAGTCAATTGATCATGGTTATGATGGACCATGAGTCAATTGATCATGGGTATGATGGACCATGAGTCAATGGATCATGGGTATGATGGACCATCAATGGACGCCGGATATGATGGACCATGAGTCAATGGATCATTGGTATGATGGACCATGAGTCAATGGATACCATGATCGTATGGTGGACCATGAGTCAATGGATCATTGGTATGATGGACCATGAGTCAATGGATCATTGGTATGATGGACCATGAGTCAATGGATCATGGTTATGATGGACCATGAGTCAATGGATCATTGGTATGATGGACCATGAGTCAATGGATCATGGGTATGGTGGACCATGAGTCAATGGATCATGGGTATGATGGACCATGAGTCAATGGATCATGGGTATGATGGACCATGAGTCAATGGATCATTGGTATGATGGACCATGAGTCAATGGATCATGGGTATGATGGACCATGAGTCAATGGATCATGGGTATGATGGACCATGAGTCAATGGATCATGGCTATGATGGACCATGGTTATGATGGACCATGAGTCAATGGAAAATGGATCAGTGGACCATGGGCCAATGTATCTTGACTGTGACGGACCATAGTTAATCTGGATCATGGGTATGACGAATAGTGGGTACGACATATTGTGGGTATGATGCGATCCATCTACATTGTATCTCACCTGTCGCCTTGTATGTGGTCAGTGAAGCATGATGTTTGGACACGTGGTTTGCGAGAATCCTTTGCCTTCAGTTCATCATAGGAGAAGAGAGAGAGCAGGGCACCTTCAGCAGCCGCTTAAACAAGGGAGGTAACCAGTTGAATCAAGGGAGGTAATCCATCAATGGCCCATATAAAACAGAGTGGGTGCATATAGGCCTTTTAAGGCCCAAGGTCGCCCTAAAACCTTATCTACCTACCTATAAAACAGAGCACAGAACCTTTTGACTGACATTCAGTCTTTAAAAAATATAGATTGACAACAACAAAAACAGAATAGATAAATAAAATCCAAAATTAACCAAGAACAATTCTTAACTTCAGATTAGACCTGAGGTAATCTCAACGTGACCAATCATTTTAGACTTGAGTTCAACTCCTTTTTACTTAGACAGACAACATAATCTTCTACATATTCTCATAACTGGAGAGTTCTGATCATCTGATCATGCCAAATCTTCACTATGGACAGGCACTGCTTAGTTCATCTGTTAAAGCTTCTCAAACTGTGCCAGCATTGAAACATACCCTCAGCATCTCCACACGGATCTACGTCCACATTGACCTCCCCAACCTCTGACAGCTGCCTCACTCCATCTGCAACATGGAGATTGTGTAGGTCAGTGGTTTACAGGCATGTGATAGACATAAGCTTATCTTTCCTTATGTTAAAATATTATCAATCCTGACCCTGCCATATTTAGGAAACAAAGAAACTGACTGAATCTGCCTGAAAATCCATTTTCAGCTACTGACACAAAAGTGCAAAGTGTATTGTTATTTAAAGCTACACGATCGTGGTTGGTAATTAGCCTGCACTAGACTGGACTAGACAATCCAGTGATTGACATCATGTGTATCAAGCTGGGATGTATGCAAACAAATCCCCAAACCAATCCTCTTTGTCATCTCTTACAGCGTGGGTTGCTGAAGACCAATTTCTAATCTGCTCCTTCATAAGGAGGCAAAAGTCTTAAGATGACAAAGAGAGATAACACTGTGTGTGATAGTTCAGCTATCTATGTTATTTTTCCACAATGACTGGCTGACTGAGTATGGTCTTACGCCGCTTTTAGCAATATCTCAGCAATATCACAGCTGGGGATAGAAATGGGCTTCACAAATTGTATCCATGTTGGGAATCGAACCAGGGCCTTCGGCGTGACGTGCGAACGCTTTAACCACTATGCTACCCCAACGCCCCTTTTTCCATAAGGAACATTTATCAGCATCAAGTCCTGATCCAAACAGACATCTCAGCACTAAGATGCTCATTACTACTATATACAGGGGTGGAAATAACCCAATGCCTGACGCCCGAGTCCAGTGTTTTTTTCTGTCGGGCAAGCAAATTTGTATATCACACTGTACCGGTGTCCAGTTGACTTTCCAATATTAATTATGTTGTTTATTTAAAAAATCAACAAGAAAACGGCCGATATAGTGGAACAATTATCAGGGTAAGTGATTTTACATGTGCCACTGTATCGGGAGTACATTAGCAATTTTAAAGTTATTTCCACCCCTGATATAAGACAGGTGTAGAACGAAGACCACATTACATGTCTTTAACCATAGTACTGTGATGACTATGTACTATGAAAATTAATTTAACAATGACATGAGAACATTTAACAATGGAAAAGGAATGTTACCATATTTTAATCACCAGATCACCAAATTCCCTACCACTATGAATGACAATGTCTGTGTTAGTGTATAGAGCGACACGTACTTGCCACAGCTTTCCTGACCCTCTCCCTGCCCTCCTCCACCTGCTCCTGCTCGTTGAAGCCGACCCCCTTCTTCCCACCCCTACCACAGCCACGGAGGAGAACCCAGCCTCATCCAGTCCGAACAACACTCGGGTCTTGCCTGCCTTCAGCTTCCTCCCTGCTCTGAATCATGACAAGGAAATGGGTGAATGAGTAAGTATAGTTTTACGCCACTCGCAATATTCCTGCTATATGGCGACAGTCTGTACCAATCGAGTCTGGACCAGACAATCCAGTGATCAACAGCATGAGCATCGATCTACGCAACTGGGATACAATGACATGTGTCAACCAAGTCAACAACATTGACCACCCGATCCCGTTAGTCGCCTCTTACGACAAGCATGGGTTACTGAAGACCAATTCTAACCCAATCCTCACGAGCTGAGTGAATGTAGTTTAAGAGAGAGAGAATGTTGTTTAGCTCTGTGTAGATTCTGGGTTAGAATAACCCCCCAGCCATCTATGCTGGTATTTAGAGGCAGCCAAATGGATTGAATGGTCAGACTCATCTGTACCATACATTTCCTCATATCGATTTTTCAATCATTTATCACAATATCAATCACTGGATTGTTTGGTCCAGACTTTAAGACTAACTCACTCAGCAATTTTCCAGCCATATGATGGCGATCTCTAAATAATCGATTCTGGACCAGTCAATCCAGTGATTGATATCATGAGCATTGATCTACACAGTTGGTATACGATGACATGTGTCAACCAAGTCAGTGTGTCTGACCACATGTCCTGTTGGTCGCCTCTTGTGGAAGACCAATTGTAACCCAGATCTTCACAGAATTTTACAGCCATAATATTGCTGAAATACTGGAGAGTCCACTGATAACCAACCAACAAATACTGTAAATGAATTTTTTTCAACCCACAATCAGGATTGTTCTACTGACATCACAGAAAATAATAGTCAGCAGTCAACAATAACTAAGCATTATCAAACTGACCTGAAAATAGAAGTATGCCAAATATGGTCACTCATCGAACTAATCTCCAGTAGATTAGAACCACCTTGTATATTTTATTGTCAAGGCCATCTTGACCGTAAGCATCATAAAGAGAAATATTGTTATTTTAATTTTTGTTCTTTCGATTTTTTCAATTACTGAGGTCAGTGGATCTGTAAATCAAGCAAAAATACCCAATGTAACTCCACATCCATCCTGCATCTCCTCTGTCTTCAGATAATTACTATTAACGGCAATTGGTTTTCCTTACTGCCAAAAGCATCATGGTGTATGTGCTTTACATCACTCACTGTTTGAGTTGCTGCTGTAACTGCCCACCACATTGCTTGTTGATTGTCTCCCCTGCTTGACTGAGCTGGATCCCTTCACCTTCCTCATACACACCCACGACCACGCCCCTGTGCTGCAGAGACACACAGATGGCAACATGCATCACAGGAAATGTGTCATAACCAATACCTAAAACATAATGTCATCCAAGTTGATTACATGCTAATTCATAAATTTAATAGAAGTACTAAGAGTTCATGATGGTCGTCACTTTTACTCATCGTGCGGGGAATGGTTAGCAAAGTTGTCTGCAATTTTGTAAAATGTGTCATCACTGACAATAGGCAAAAAGTTCTTGTGGACAGTGATTGTAAACAACTGATGACATCCCAAAAGGAAACAAAACAACCTACATGCCACTATAAGCTTGTTCCATGACACGTTCCAAAGATATTAGGCTTTCAGTGCCTTTTCTACTGTCCTACATACATACTTTTCTAAACAATCAATAAGACCAGTGAATGTTTTACTCGGATTATGCTACATTTATAATTTGCTTATATCAAGCATTGTGTTTATCTCACTATAATACCGGGAGATAATCATATCAATTGGAAATCTCCAAATATTTCTGTTATCCTGACAATAACATTTTCGGGTGTAAGTCTTCTTTTTGCTTTTGAATTTTTCTGTACATTATTCCTGGCTGTATTTCCTTCAAATTTGCTTCAGTTAGTTTCGGTCATTTACAATGGGCACTAAATATATGTAGCGTCCATGGATTTAGAAATTACTTACAGAGGTCAGTGTGGGGGGTCTGTTCTGAACATGGGATATAAACAATTCTACTATCTACTCCTCTAATGTTAACTCCTCCAGTTAACTTACTTTAGATACGGTTGCACTAAAACTTCGAGACAGACAAAAGTTTCTTAACACCGACCGGTGTAGTGTTGAAACTCTAACCCACACCATGTTTTATCGGTGCAGAAGGGATTAGAGTTACCTCCCTTAAGCAGGTGCCCGCCTCAAGCTCTCAACAGGAGCTTGTATGTGTGGAGTTAGACTGTAGACTTTCTCCGTCTCCTTAATGCTTTGTGTATAAAGTGAATCCGATGGTAATAGGTTGGATTTCAAGATACGCTCCGACCGATAGGATATGATGTTTGTTTGTCCGCACATACCCATGCTCATGGGTTTCACAGAAATCGTAAGCGTTTAAAACATACATTACTTAGGGCTATCCTCCAACATTAGGCAGTTCATATACGTCAAGAATGAAATACATGCATACAATGGTAATGGATAGTACTAGCAAAGGTGTACCCTGGATTCCCGATGTACAGTGGTAATGGATGTCTTGGCACATGACTGTTCACGAGTTTGAACCCATATCCAACAATTAAATGTTGTGTGTCTATTCTAAGTAATCCTAAAAGGGATATAATCGCGTTGGTGCATTGTCCGTTTTGAATAATATTTTTCCACAATGTGGCAATTCGACAACATGACAATGTCCGTTCTAGGACTCCATACATTTTAGCATCTCACACGCTTCTCAAAATATAGGCGTTTCTATATGTTGAGAGAGAACATGTTCCTTTCAAAAAGCATGCCATTTCATGATTATGGTATGGTATTCAGGACTACAGATTTCTCGGGTGTATTTGAACAGGGCAATCGGTAACATTGATACCAGAATTTAACCTGTGCCAATGACATCGAGTGTAAGACGTGTTTATTAAATTTCATCTTTTAAAATCACCTGGCCCTATACCTATAACGTTCCAACTCGAGACAAGGCAGACAGTAGTACTTCTTTCCACGTGAATACATTTGGGCATACACCATGTATTCTGAAACGCAATGTTTACGTTACCCTGTTACAACCGAGCATGGATTCTGGTTTCTTGTGTGAGTGAGTTAATTAGGTTTGGAACTACTTCGCACAGTATTTCACTGATATCACAATGTGTGTTTGTGCTAATCTTAGACCAGGCTGATTGTTCTTGACAGTGGTGGACAAAGTGTTTTTTGCAACAAGAGATGGAAGAGGTGTGTATTTGATAATAAGCCCAAAGAAATATGCAAAATACAAATTTGATAAAATAGTGTACATTGTAGATATAATCTAATTTTGCATTTCACTTTTTGATGACAAAAATATGAATTGGATTTAGTGACCACTGTTTACCAACATCGATATCTTGTTGATTAAAGGAATACAGAAATATATTTGTTTTGTTTTGGTTTTTTAACAAAGTAATTTGTAATTGTAATTAATTACATTGGTAATGTAATTGTAATTTAATTAATTAAATTTTAATTTAAGGTGTAATTGTATTTGTTATTGTATTTGTAATTGAGGAAAATCAAAGTAATTGTAATTTAATTAATTACATTTCAAAGTAATTGAACCCATGTCTGCTGACTACCCAACCGACAGTCGCACGGTGGCAAAACTACATACGTCACATCTCTACACACCGCTCTTTGACAAGATCTTTAACACCTTCAAACATGAAAATGTGAATCGGTTTCATATTTTTGCGTCCTCGTTTCACCCTCGTCATAAGGCACTGGGTTGTTGACCTACCCTCAGTAATTTTTCTTTCGTGAAGATCCGGGTTAGAATGGGTCGTCCTCAGGCCATGCTGGACGTATACTATCCCAAAAAGAAACGCATAGGCGTTTTGTATTTTAAAAATCTATTAATTACCTATTGTGTTCAAACAATCGTCAAAATATGTAACAAAAGTGTTGATAACATGATTTTACACAATTGCACAAGTAAAAAATCGCCTTTACCTGAAAATGTTTATTTGATGAGATTTCTTACAAGGATTAAAAACGCATCGCCACAACACAACAAAAATCACCTTCCAGTTGAAATTGTGCAGCAAAGAGCATGCACTGTCTGGCTATAAAAATCCAGATTACTTTCGGAAATCGGCATTCGTTTTGAAGGAGTTTCAAGGTCAAATCACTACGCCACGTCTTGACGCTGCGACACGGAACATCGCCATTGAAAGAATGCACGCTGGAGATTACCAATCTTCTGTTGCCAGGCGTCTGAATGTTAGTCTGAGCACGATATCACGGCTTGCAGCTCGTTACAACCAAACAGGTATAACAAATGACCGTCCCCGTACAGGCAGACCTCGAGTCACCACTGCAGCCCAAGATCGGTACATCCGGGTACTACATTTGCGTGATCGTACTGCCACGGGTGAGAGCACAGCAGCCAGGGTGCCTGGACTTCGGAGGATATCCGGTCAAACTGTACGGAACAGGTTGAGAGAGATTGGACTGAGAGCCAGGAGACCCGACGTCGGGACCGTGCTACGTCGTCACCATCGCGCTCAACGTCTCCGTTATCTAAAATTATCCACTTGGTTGTATAGACATTTCCTTCTTCTAAACTGATGTAAAAATTCATGCACTAAAGTCTATTTGTGGACGAGTTATACATGTTTGAAAATACAACATTTTCGCAACAGATTTCTGGCCTATGCGTTTCTTTTTGGGATAGTATAAAGAAAAGAAATCTTGATGAATTCGATAGAAGGGTTGTGAGGGACGTCATGCGTCGGTTATGAGTCCATATCGTCAAGCAAACTGAAGAAAATATTGTTCAAAAGAAGTCCTGACATCACTGTATCAAAGCATACCATATGCAAGCTGTTGCTCAAATTTGGATCTTGATACAAGATATTGACCAACCAGTATTTAAAGACTTCAATAAATCTGCTTGTTTAAAATGGATTTGTGATGATTATACAGTCCCTTTAGATTTGCTTGCAGGCGTAACAATGTAAACAAGATGCACGCGAGTCACACCATGTTGTTTGCTGTTCCATCGTATCATTTTACTCCCTTGTATAACTACTTCTATTTTTCATATTTTTATAAGATGGCTTCATAAAATTATGAAATTTAAACCTGAGATAGGTCATAAGATATAAAAAGCGTATGCCTAAAAACATTTTGAAGGCATTTTTGGTTAAAAGGTATATTGTGAAAAAGAGGGTGCCAAAAGTTCAGTTGACAAACTATAACAGCCTTCACAAAAATATTCACCCGTAAAGATTCGGGTTGTAATTGGTCTTCAGCAAGAGAGACCGGGTGCATGGTCAGGCTCGCTGACTTGGTTAACACATGTCATCGTATCCTAATTACGTATCCTAGACCGATACTCATGCTGTTGATCACTGGATTGTCTGGTCCACACACTATAAGTTGTATGCTTCTCTCGAGGGTAATACGGTCTGATGTACGCCTCTTTGTAGCAGTGTCACCCGAGCCGGTGGGAGAGGGATGACACAGCTACAAAAAGGCGTACATCAGACCGTATTACCCGAGGGAGAAGCATACAACGTATTTATCTTACCGACATGTTAAATGTACAAAATATCATTTTATTTTATGTTCAAGATCGCGACCGACTATATGACATGTACACAAAATGGCGTCTGCCTCTCGACTGGATTTATAACATCAGTGAAACATATTCTGACAAGCTTAAAACTGCTATAAATATGGTTAATTATGTTTAAGTTGAGTGTGCAAACGATTAAATGTATAAAATAGTTTAAATAAAGCAGTGAAAGTCGGTAAAATAAATCTGTACATATTGAACTAAAAACAGCTAATCGAACGTTTTTCGAACCCCTGGCACTGCATGCGTCATATTATGACGTCATACGATTGTTAGCGATACAACTTCTCGGCGGAGAATTTGGCGGTTACCGTGGCAGCGGGTAATATTCTTTCCAGTTGTCACCCTCCTGGGAGGGGTGACACGGAAACTTGTTAAAGAGTCATTGACCAATGAAATTAAAGTATTTTACATGAAGGTAAAATAAAGTTATTTACATACCGCCGCCATTTAATTGAAACTTTGCTGAGTGCTGCGTTAAACAACAAACAAACAGCCAAACATAATCAGCTGCATATTCTCAAGTTTCCTTTACGCCGTAATAGTTCACTCCAACATCTGCTAGGCATTGAAAACAGTCAGCACAGAAACGTATTTAGCAGTTATTATCGAGATTGCAGTTCTAATTAAAGTAAACTAAGCAGGAAGGTTTTGTTCTACACTACGCGTCACTGTTATATATGTTATTGTGACGCCATGACATCGCCGTTGAACTAAGCTCGCAGTTGTCCCCCAAACTTTCTGCTTGCAGATTCCCATTTCTGCGCAAAATCTACTGCCACATATCACTTCAATATTGAAGTAAGCGCCACGTTGCAATTCACACCATCTGATAATGTTATTTATTGCACATATAATTATTTAAAAATGACTACGATAATGGCAGAAAAAGAAGGGTTGTAGTACAACTTGTACTATATAGATCAGCTTGCGCAATAATTCAGCTGTCGCATCGGCTGTTTCAATCAGAGGGGGTTTATTGCTGTTTGATAACCTCTGATTGAACAATCAGAATCGAATAACTTCAGAACTCATGGTAGAATACTTGTCTAAAGTCCGTAACATAACCTGTTAATGTCACAAATGCTGTCTTTGAAATCGGTCTGTTTATAATGACATGGAGTAAAATATCCCCATGTCTTGTCTTCTTGTCCATAGAATTCTCTCTGGTTAATAGGTATGGCTGTGGATTCAGGCTTTGTCCTTGTTGGCTAACCTGAAAGAGAAATGCAGGATGCCAATGAATTAGATATATATATATAACCACATCAACACCTTATTGGTAAGTGAGTGAGTTTAGTTGTACGCCCCATTCAGCAATATTCCAGCTATATGGCGGCGGTCTGTAAATAATCGAGTCTGGACCAGACAATCCAGTGATCAACAGCATGAGCATCGATGTACGCAGCTGGGATACGATGACATGTGTCAACCAAGTCAGCAAGCCTGACCACCCGATCCCTTTAGTCGCCTCTTACGACAAGCAAGGGTTACTGAAGATCAATTCTAGCCCGGATCTTCACGGTTCCAAGGCCTTATGGAAAACCTGCCAAATACACTTCTTTGGTAAGTT